ATGTATTTCCTAGAGTTTGTCATATGTTTAGTCTGCAAAAAATTACTAGCTGACACTTTTTAAAAAACACATTTATACACTAATTTGGGGCCTGCTCCTGCTCCCATTGACGTCAGTGGAAGCAGGATGGGGTCCTGCAGTGTGGTAAAGAGTAAATAATGTGGTAAACTGCTTCCCCTTTTTTTACTTGTATGCAGAGATGGTTCACACGCTGAACTATTTCTTTGCAAGGAGCTGGAGAGTTGGCAATAAAAGGTTGCACTGAGACCCTAGAGGCCCAGAAATATTCAATGACAGTTGATGTCAATGTAGAGTGTGGTCTCTTCCTAATTGGGGCCTATTCTAATGCCCATTGAAGTCAAAGGGGGCTTTCCATTGACATCAGTGGGCTTTGGGTAAGACTCAGTGCAATAAATCTCTGTTTATGCAATGTTCTGGTTCTGAACCATAATCCATGCTGCAAAATTGATTACCAGAATTGCTGTTTTGAGCTACAGCTCTGAACACACTGCTTAGAGATAACCCTCTTGCATCAGAATTCACAAATAACTGCTACTGACCACTAAATCAAAATTAGCCTATAAAATTGGTATTTAGGGACACAAAAATCCAGACTCAAGCTACAGTAGAGTTAAATGCATCTTTTATGAAAGCTCCAGCCTTTAATCTTTCCATTTCATGGTATGGTCTCCAAAAAGGAATATAAATCTGGTGGGTGAATTTTCTTTCTTTACTTTAGGAAGTGGTTTCTAGTGGAAGGACAGTTTAGGAAGTATTTTGCAGTCTCCTAACAACTATTACAACATTTTTACCTCATGCATGGTTTTTCATAAATTGTAACACTTATTAAAGCTTTCGAATTCATGTCTTTGTTCTTCCTGCCTGCTCCTGAGAGGTGCTGAGCAATCTCAGTTACCCTTAAAAACAATGGGAGCGATGGCTGCTCATCATTTCTGAAATCAGGCCATGGACTTCTTTGTGTAGCTTGTTGGGAGTGTGTGTGTGTGTGTGTGTATTGTATGTACAATGCAGTATTTTGATGTTACTGTTAGAATCATAACTCTTGCATTTCCCAGTTTGTTGATATGAACTGTGCACTACGGCCTCAGTGTTGTTTTCACACAGTGTAACGGGATTGGCACCCACCTCTCTCACGAGTGCCCCGTTCTGGTTGGGTGTGTGTGCGTTCTTTAGGTCTGGAGACCCCTTTCGGTGGTTCTCAGGTGGGTTTTCAGTGACTCAGCCCTCTGACTGAGACACACACACACACTCTATCTGCATGTGAACCAGAACAAACCCCTTCTGGGGTATACAGTCCACCATGGTTTATCTCAGTACCCCTCTGGTGGTGTTTCTCTAGCCCTCTCTGAGCTGAGTCTTTAAGTAGTCCTGGCCCTGGTATGGGGCCATATCCCCAGGGCTTCCTCCCTGGAGACACTATCTTCCTGTGGCCCTTTCCGGGCTCACTCCCTTCTCAATTAGTAGCCAGCCAAGAGCTCCTTCATTGCTCCCTTGGTCTCTGCTAGCAAACAGTCTTTGGCTCAGTCCTAGCAGCCAGCCAGAAGCCTCTTGCTCCCTGGTCCCTGCCAGAAGACTGCCTGTGGTCCTCCTGCTCTTCCAGCCAGGCATGCAGTCCTTTCGTGTCCAGCTCCAAGTAGCAACTAACTACTGCTCTGTTCTGCAGCTCTTTTTAGATGGCCCTCCTGGGCCCTGATTGGCTGCTTTTCCGGCAGCAGGGGTCAGTACCACAATGTTGCACAATGGACACTTGACAAAATTACCGGACATAGTGAAAGACATTGGCGGGGAGCAGGAGGGGGCTCTGGGGTGAGGCAGGGGGTTGGGCTGTGGGAGGTGGTTGGGGCTCTGGGGTGGGGATGCAGGTTATGGGGTGGGGCCAGAAATGAGGGGTTCAGGGTGCAGGAGGGGGCTCCAGGCTGGAGCAGGGGGTTGGAGTGTGGGGGTATGTGAGGGCTCCAGCTAGGGGTGCAGGCTCTGAGGTGAGGCTGGGGATGAGGGGTTTGGGGTGTAGGAGGTTGCTCCGGGCTGGGACCAAGGGGTTGGAGGGCGGGAGGGGGATCAGGGCTGGGGCAGGAGGGTGGGATGCAGGCTCCGTCCAGCGCTTACCTCAAGCAGCTCCTGGAAGCAGCAGCATGTTTTGGCTCCTATGCAGAAGCGCGGCCAGGCGGCTCTGCGCACTGCCCTGTCCGCCCCCGCAGCTCCCATTGACTGTGGTTCCCGGCCAATGGGCTGGGAGCTCAGGAGTCAGCGCTCAGGGAGGGGGGACGGAGGCAGCGTGCAGAGCCGCCTGGCTGCGCCTCCACCAGCAACAGCAGGGATGGGGAGCCGCTTGTAGGGACGCTCATCTTGGGTGGCTCCCCGTCCCTGCTGTTGCTGGTGGAGACACGTGCGGCCTCCATCTTCAGGCACCACCCCCCGCAGTTCCCATTGGCTGCAGTTCCCGGCCAATGGGCTGGGAGTCGTGGCGTCAGGGCTGGGGGATGGAGGCAGGTTGCCTGCAGAGCCGCCTGGCCGCGCCTCCGCCAGCAACAGCAGGGACAGGGAGCTGCCCGAGGTGAGTGCCCCCACAGACCTCAAATTTTTTACCATGGACAGTTGTGTCCATGTATGGATACATTGCTGACTCCTGCCCTGCAGCCACTCTAGCCTGCTTGGAGGACCTCTCTACTGCTCCTTTCCTGGGATGCGTGTGGCAGAACCCTGAGGTGTGCCAGAACTCTGAGGCCTCCAGCAGGGGGCCTTTGGGCTTAGTCCACCCCATCACCCACAGTTCATATCTAGGAAAACTAGCAGTATTATGAAAATGAAGGTGGCTCCTTTTTAATATCAAAGCTGTTGAATGGATACCAAGACCATCCAGAGAGCATTTCAACAGGGATGTGCATAAATTCTAAAAGTGTTCTTATTTGTTTGCTGATTTTTAAAGCCCAAAAAAGGGAAACTATATCTTTATACATAAGCAGAGTTTCCTTACTGTGTCATCCAAAAGTGACTTGTGCAGAGTTGTAATTTTCTATTTTTGCAAGTCAGGCAGCAATTGTGGCTTGTGCTAGGTTAGTATTATGGTACACATGGCTGCTTTTCCTTGGGCTTGAAAGCAAAGAATGACAAGCTGGCAGTGTGCATGTTGGGGTGGAGGGAGATCGCTGGTTTGATGCCACAATCGCTCTGAAGATTCTTCTCCTCTTGCACCTTCTCCTGTGGAAGTGTGATTTTTTCCCCCCCTGTCCCTTCTGACAAGGATAGCAGTAACATGTAGGGATGTAAATAAGTCTTACATCTTAATTTCTCTTTCTCTCCCATTTTCATCCTTCCTGGATGTTTCCACTTTTCTTCTTTTCTCCTCCTTTCTGTGTAATGTCTCCCCCCCTGTACTGGCTTTGCATATTTGTGTAGAGGACGGGTGGCCATTGCATTGGGTGTGGGTGTGTGGTTTCTTCACTCCTCACTCAGTCCCATCACTTTGGCTGCCGAGGAGATGCCTGGCACGAGCTCTCTGTCATTCACTTCCTTTTGTTGCCTTTTTCTCTTTAATAAAATAACTCTCATCCTCCCCCCTTTTCTCATATAATTTCCCATTCCCTCTCTTGTCCTTCCCCTCTCTCTCTCTCTCTCTCTCTCCTTCCCCCTCCCCCCCC